TCCTGCTGAGAATCTCCAAAGTACAGTGGAGCTATCAGTGCCAGGACATTCTTAAAATAAGATTTATTTCTGGGAGGCCAACATCTGCAGATACAACCTGCCATCTGAGTCTAACTGGATAATAATATTCATGAGGGTAAAATGAGAAGATGAGGTTTAGCAGAATAAAATCTGATCTCAGACTAAGGTTAGTCAACCAAAACTCCTCTTGTATGTCTGTTACAAAAGGAATCATCAGAACTGCAGCAAAGCACCGAAATGTTAAGTTATGATGTAAAGTTATGATTCCGCAAAGAAAGTTAATACCAACCAGTTCTACACGCCAATTTTCTATTTCTCCAACAGCTCCTGTAACAAAAGACTGATCTTTGTTATGTGCTGGTGATGAGGTGACAGGCTGACGTGTGCTGTGGTCATTACCACCTACAGGCCAGGAGTTTCGAGTGTTTGCCTAAAATAAAAATATTCATGCTTCAGTTACAATTATGTAGGCTGTTTTGCATTGGTTTTTTTTAAATATTAATTACAGTAGAATACAGTACAATACTAATTACAGTAGAATAAAAGAACCAGCAGACGAGGTAACTGGGTTGGCAAACTATGATAATTACATAATCCACAGAAATCCATGTGTACAAACTCTCATTAAATTTTGACTAAAACTCAGTTTGCAGATAACCATTTATACAGCCCTCCTTAAAAAGAATCAGGTCCCTGAATTCTGATTAAAACAACAGAAAAATAAAAACTTACAGAGGCATCTAGAAGAGTCTGTTCCATCAATCTATATTCTGCAGTTAAGAATTTCAGTTTCTGATGGAGTTCCTCATTTTCATGAAGAGCTACCTGTAGTTGACTTTTCATTCCAGACAGCTCCTCCTATAGGATACAGGAACTGCATGTAAAAGGCTCCTTGAGAAGACTATCAACATTTAAATACATCTTGAGAAGACTATCAACATTTAAATACATCTTGAGAAGAAAAGGCTAGATTAACATTCTGAAATGTTTTAAACCCTTTTAGAGAGAATAAGAATACTCAAAAGACATATTTCTTTTTTTGTAGCTCAATTTTCCATATAGCTCCTTTAAAAAAATTGCTTATTTGTATTTGTGATAGGACATAAAAACATCTTTGAAGACCCTTAAACACTATGCAGGCACCAAGATGCATGGTAAGGCTCAGTATCTACTGAGCTGTGTTTATACTGAACTGTTTAGTTCAGTTTCAGTTATTACAACTCAAGATTAAGTTTTTAAAGTAGTTCTCCATATTTAAGGGACCAGGGTTTTAGCAGGTGAAATATGTTGTGTAATAACTTGCAAAACTTCACTTCTGCTTCTAAACGATTAATGTACTGCGACTGATCATTGATTATAGGAACAAGATCAGAAAGGACTAATAAGTCTCCAGTTGCATCTTCTGAGGTTTTGTGAAGGAAATAGAGAATAGCATGTGTTATTTCCCAGTTTTCCATTTATTGCAATAAGATGTCACTTGCTCACAGAATATCATATACACTTAAAACGCACCAAGTACTGGATCATGAGGAAGGGAAAGACAGTAAGAACTTCAATTCTTCAACACAAAAATTAAATACGTTTTTCTGTCAAAACGTACAGCTGCTTGATTAAGCACATCTATAAAGCAGGATTAAATCATACCCAGAAACAAATTCATAAATGAAATTCATACTGCTATTTAAGTGTATCATCCATTTTAGACAAATATAGGGAGACATTTTCTTGTCTGTGACATGAATATTGAAATTCCTTGAATTTTAATGAGTTGTAGATGTGCAAATTCAACTCCTCTAAATGTTCATTAACGATTGCTACAGAAACACAACTATGCCTGCAATTTTAATACCTCCATAGAAACAAAATGTGTAATAGATACTACATTTATCAAAGAACTTGATTATTGGTATTTTAAAAGATAACTCTAAAAAACTTTTCTGAAGACCCTTTAAACAGGTAAAATTTTTGATAGCCTCACACATAACTAGTTAAAGAAGGCAATGAAGGGATTCCTTGCCCATTCAAGATAACCAGTTACATCTCTGCCTTGCTCAGCAGGATTTAAGCTGGGCTTAAACTTTTTACAAAATATGAAAAACACAATCACTATAACTTTACAGTATTTACTCCTAAGAATACAGTACAGATAAAGAACGTAAGTAAATATTACTAAAATGCCCTGAAAATTACAGCCTCTCTTTGATCCTATTAGCAACAAACAGTCCTTGTCAGTCTAATAAAGAAGACTTCTACAGAGCGGATATAACAAATATTTTTTTATAGTTTAATAATTTAATTATTTCTAATGAAGTATAACATACTTTAAAATAACTGTAATGGAGTAACAGTGTTAAGCATAAATATGCTAGTCTGCAATGAAACTGCCTTTGAATAATCACAAAAATATTTAATAGAGTCTCTATTTTAAAATTTAATTAAATCAGCTACTATCAGATCCTCACTTGTCCTCTTTACGTATGTCAATGTTGTTCAAGTATATATAATATAGCGCTGATAATATTTGTAACTCATGCTTCTGTTTCTCTGGCTCCTATTCATCCCTTCCTCTTTTCTGAAAATGTAACAGACACCTTGCAGCTGAGACCTCCAGCTGCCTCCGTGAAGAGATTACACCACAGCAGTGCTTGAAAATGTGAAAAACTATTTATATTCAAATTATTTTTCACTGAAAAACAGTGCTAATGTTTTACATAAGAAACATTGGTGTAAGCTATGCAAGAGTGCTAAACAGTGGTTTCGCTAAAAGGAAAATAATTACATAGTATATTTTCCCAACTGAAAAAGAACAGAGAACTTTTTAACACAACTTATTAACTCACGGTACTGTCACTGTTATTTCTTTATTTATTTAGAAGCCTTTACCTGCCCTTTCATGGTGCAAATGGCTAGTAGATAATTTGTGATTTATTTCTTTTTATCTTTTTTACTACACAACTGTTATCAATTAATTATAAATTAATTTGGGAATTTTTCACTAATATTATGATAACTTATGTTACAGGGTGAAAGAACAGAGGTCTGTGGAGGCATCAGTACAAATCACGGGGAAATATTACATTTAGCTATAGCCACCTGCAGTTATCTGTTGCTCAGTAGTCATCTGACATTGCAGCATAATTCAAAGCAAAAGGTTAAGGAACTCATCATTTACATTTGCTCTTCTTAAGGTTAAGGAACGCTTAAAAAGCGGTAAAAGTTCAAATTAAGGAGAAAAACACAAAACTCAGCGCTTGTGACTACATACCCCAAAATTGTCAATATATGTAGCGAAATCTCAAATATCAGCCAGAAAATCCAAAAAAGATGAAAAAGTTTCTTTTACATTGTGTTAAATTCAAAAATAGCAGACATGTCAAGAAACATTTAAATTGTCCCAAAAATGAAGGAAAAGCAAGAATAACTGCAACAAACGCCTAAAAAGCTAAAAAAGTTCAAATAACAAGGAGAAAAAGCAGAACTAAGAACTTGGGTCTAGAAGCTTTTAAACTCCCACAATATGTAGCAAAAGCCCCAATATCAGTCAGAAACGCCGAAATACTGAAAAAGTTCCTTTTTAAGGTGCTAAAGCCGAAAAGCAGCAGGTATGACAAGACACTCTTAAATTGTCTCAAAAGTGATGGAAAAGCAAGAATAATAGGCTTAAACGTTTAAAAAGCAGTAAAAGTTCAAATTAAGGAGAAAAACAAAAAACCCAGCACTTGTGCCTACAAACTCCAAAACTGTCAATATATGTAGCAAAAGCTCCAATATCAACTAGAAAAGCCAAAAAAGGTGAAGAAGTTTCTTTTACATTGCGGTAAATTCAAAAATAGCAGACATGTCAAGAACACTTTCACATCCTGGTTAGCAAGCAGATGGAGAACAGTTTAAAAAGAATAAGGCCACCACTTCACAGAATCCCTCTCACTGGAAACTTCAAAAGGAAGATATAGGACAACACCCTATCAACACAGTAAATTCCCATCTTTCCTCTGCTTATTCCTCCATCCTTTAATCCACTCCCTGAAAGCACTATAGCATGTTTCTTAGAAAAAGTATCCAATTTTCTGAATTTCTTCACTCTACTAAAATTTCCCAATTTAAGTAGAAAACTTTGACTAAGATGGATTAAAAGTTGTTTTCCCTTCCCTACAAAGGCTAAATACAAATTGATACTGACTCATGTCACATCAAAGTGAATCAGTGATGTACCGTTCCTCTTAAGCTACAAAACACTAATTCTATCCTGCAGGCATATGAGGCAAAGGTACCTGGCAGGGCAATCAGACTAAACTCGTGGATTTCAGAACACTCAGAAACGTTGAACTTTAAATAAAACTTTTCAATGTCAGAACAGCAGAGTTAGGTTCATTACACAGGCTCAAAGCAACCCAGCAGGAACACAGGCTTTAGATTGTTCTGCTGCTACCTCAACTTTGACAGCAAAATGCTGCTTGGCGGGCTTAGTATAGACCAAAAGTAGCCAGCAGAACCCATCAAAAGATAAAACTGGAACAACGCCTTTGAATTATTTTCCTATAGGGATAATAGCATCTAGCATTTGCTCTAACTGAGCTGTTCATTGCATGTATTTTGGTGCAGTTCTGCTGCAAGAAGGCTAAATCTGAGAAGCCAATGTAAGGGTTTGAAAGAAACCACTGCATTTTGGCAGAGAGCTACAAAACCTGTTGTTACAAGAATATCTCTAATCCTCTAAGAAAAAGCACAGTTACAGCATAAGAAGGCCTTTAAGAATCCTTAAAGTACAGTCAAAGACTGTAACAGAGGCTGTTTTTACAGAAATTTGTCCATGTAGTTGATCCTAACTGTTTCCAAAACAAAAAGGATTAATTTTTTTTTTTGGGGGGGGGGGAAGATGAGAAAGCTGAAAGCAATGTGGACTGTGACCCACACTGCATGGTCAACAAAACAGGAGAGAAGTCTCAATCCTGTACTACAGGTTTCTTCCCCTTCCGCTATAGTCAGAGGCACACCAAGTTCTGGCCATAGCCTCAAATATCCAATGTATTTCAGAATATAAAAATGATTCAGTGATTATTTTTCTTCCTGGATACTACAAAATTGATCTTATCGTGCATGCTGTTCATTCAAACAACACAAAAGAAACAAGAAGTAACATACACAGATTGACATCTTCCTCCTTGATGGAGAGGCTTCACTTTCCGTTCTTTCTTGATGTTGCAACAAACTTTTAAGTTGATTAACTAGAAAGAGACAAGAAAACATTATAATAAAAATATTTACTTTTTTCATTGAAATTAGTATGATTTTTAAGCTGTCTGCTTTCAGAGTGATCTTACCTGTGTGGCTGTGCTGCAGTTCCTGACAGGCTGCATTCCCAGTGCCGTCATTGCCCCTGTCCACATCAGAGGTCTGGTCAAATCCAACTTCACCCTCACACTTTGCAAACCTTTCCTGCAAGGCATATTTCAGTTGATCGATGCTTTCACTAGCACGCTCTGGGAAAAAAAAAAAAAAATCAAAAACAATCACATCATTACCAACAATAAACAACATAAAAGAAAGTATTTCCTGACTGATATTTTAAATTTGAAAAATAAAAGGGAGAACTAAAAGCATTCAGCATCTGCCCAGCTTAACTACTTGATCTAAACTCAGCCACTGGAAGCAATTACCTAATGCAAACACCCATACAACCACCGTATGCCACAACTGGCAAAAGAAATATTCACTAAATTTTCAGAGCAGCAGCTACAAATGCATCTCAGCCTGTCAATACATTAGGACTCTGCAGCAGCACAAGTAATAATATACTTGACTCTAAAATATTTCCTACCAATACTTTTCAATGAACTGAAAGCCCATGCTATATTTCATACAACATGCAAGATGGGCACCAAGAACAATATTTTTGAATCCTAATGATGCCATCATACACGAAAAAACAATGCATAGCACAACAATAAAATATCTGAGTAAATTAAGTGAAAACTCAGAAAACTGCACCAACATAAAACAGTGATTAAATAACAGTGACTTCTGAACAAGTGTGAATTATAACATTCATCATTCTGGAAAGAAAAAAGAACAAACCACCAAACAAAAAACCTGCAAAAACCGACAACCACCAGAAAAAACCCCAAACCAACAAAAATCCTCTTTTCAGATAAACACAAATATTTTTATGAACCTTTTCAAGAACTGACTTATTGAAGGGTGATATAGTAATGGTCTTTTCTCGTTTTCAATATATTTTTTCTCATATTCCTGGGGTTTTTATTTTTTTTTAAATTTGATTCAGCTGGCATCATAAAAATCAAAAACTTGCCAATCCTAAATGCCATACCACTCTGATATAGCTGAACATTTCCAGTATGCCAGAAAAGAAACTTGAGAGATTTGCAGCTAAGGGATGACAACTAGATTGGGAATCAGGAAATATGGCCTGGTTTTAGATAATGATACTCCTATAGTTCACACCATAGAACCTCAGGCAACTCACTTACTACTTCTTTCTTTCAAAAGGAGATGAGCATTTCTTTTCTCTTCCCTTTAAGCAATGTCTATAGTAACTAAAAAAGATAGAGTAGAAACCTAAGTAGTACGGCTTTATGCAATGTTGAGCAAAGCAGGGTCTCTAGGTTCTACTGTAATACCAAGTGAATCAAGGAAATGACCCATACATCAGTCACAGAGCGCATACGTGCAGGAAGACAGTCCTCCATCATGATCCACAGCCACTTTATCAGGAATATACAAAGAGATGCTTCTTCTGCATTCCTCCAAAGTAATGCCACAGTCATTCATGACTACCAGTCAAAACTAGCCTGAATCAGAAAAGTTTCATTAATAGTTAACAATTATTAATAATTTAAAACAAAACAAAACTCCACACTCTCAAAACCTTACACTCTCAAAACCTTACTTTACTTTCAGAAACATAAAAACATAGCTACTATCTTCATTTTGCCCTGAATTCTTCAGAGAGTTATTCTCCCCTAAGAGAATTTGAAACATTTAGGTATAAATCCCCAAAGAACAGGAATTTCACTCTTGTAAGATGAAGTTCATAAGGCAACATCTTTTATGGGAGCAAGTACTACAACTAGAAAAATGGCAAGCTTTCCAGCACATGTCCTTCATTTATTTTTACATGTTTGCAATCTGTAAATGGAAATGATGCATAAATAATTAATTGAAAATATTTTTTTTCTCATAGGCAAAAATGTTTAAGAAAAATAATCACAGTTAAGCATTGATAGGCAGAATGTCAGAAGACATTCCTCAGAGTATAATATATGCTGCTGGTTACAAATATTAATAGCTCCTTTCTTCCAAATGGAAAGGTGAACAGCAGTTCCAACCAGAGACAGAAAGCTAGGTATGTATTTCTGCCTTCACTTTATCCATCTTTTTCAAGTTCACATCATTTTAACTGAAGTTGGGAAATCTATTCCTACCCTTCTACACTGTAATGGTTTTCACAGTTCTTTTCAGTCTTTTTCTCTGCTTGGTTGTAACTTACCAAGAGCTTATAAAATATAAATACTGCCCCTCCTAAAAGCACTATATTTAATAACATGGTTCTCACTCCAGTATGACAGCTACCACTCACTTTTTAGCAATGCTAGTTTTTAATAAAAACCTGAGCCACTTCTGACCTACTAATCTTCTCTCAGCACTTATTTTTAAAGCCCAGTCATCTTATGACTAGTATCATCTCTTTTGACTTTTCGGTACTCCATTCTTGAATGAAGTTAATGTAAAAGAAGACATAAAAAGCACATTTTAAATAGTGATAAATTTATTAGAATAAACTGAAATAGAATTCACAAGGCAATGATGAAAAAAAAAAAGTTTAGGTCAAATATTCCTCTGTTGACATACTTAGGCTGTTCGTCCATCTTTGAGAGTTCCAGGACACTATGAGAGTGGGACAGCTAATTAAGAAATGGAAGATGTATCTCACTGATGCAATGGCTTAAATATGTAGCAAGCTATGTTGCAACTAGTTGTTGCCAAGAAGTGTTCAATGTCAGTTAAGTTACTATTTGGTGTGTCATCTGATAGCAATAAAATTCCTTCATTTCCCCATTCACTGTAGGCCTCTGTCAAAGAACCCCAGAGTATCAATATTTGCTCCACAGCCAGTGAAGTACAACAAACCAAACCAACATCAAACAGACTTGTATACAATTTTTCCCAGAACCCTCTTCATAATATTACAGCTTCTAAACTCCAAGATATTACTTTATCCTCAAAGATAACATAGATCTTCTTGCACTATATCCTCTTCTTTCATAAATACACTGGGCAGTAGCAGTGAAACACATTAAAATCATTATCAATGGCACACTGATGTCTACTTTCTTGACTACGCTTTACTGCCTCTGGATTAATGTCAAAAAGTTTTTTAAAGTTTCATCACGTATTTTCTTTATTGTGAGAGTGGTGAGACACTGGCACAGGTTGCCCAGGGAAGTTATGGATGCTCCCTCTCTGGAAGTGTTCAAGGCCAGGTTGGACAGAGCTTTGGGCAATCTGTTCTAGCAGGAGGTGTCCCTGCCCATGGCAGGGGGTTGGACTGGATGAGCCTTAAGGTCCCTTCCAACCTATGGGATGGGGATTCTGAGATTCTATGATTTGCTGAATATTTCTTCAAAGCTTGCCAATTTCCAAATTACAAAAGTTGCTGCCATAAGCAAATCACACACCACTGGGAAACAGGGAATTCAGAGTTTCTGATGCTCTGTCTTCACATTCACCAGACACTGAAGAGTTAACATTCCCTTCAATAAAAGCTGAACTGGACATGTAAAAGGGAATAAGTATATTCTAACTTTTTACCCTAAATAAGGGACATAATCTGGGGCATTAGGATAAAAGAAGACACATTACTGAGTGGAAAGATGCACATTTGTTGTATCTGCCCAATTAAAAATATCCTTTTAATCATGAAAGAAGTAGAAAAAAACCTCTGTGGATGCAAACTCCAGAGGACCTTTCCTTCAAGACAACATCATAATTCTGTAATGAATTTAGGAGTCATTAATTTTCAAGTGCTCACACATTCAACCCAACTTTTACAGTTAGGCTATTTCTCTAATAGCACATTTTATAGAAACAGGGCCTCAGTAAAAACCCTGCAGAAAACTGCTCTCATGCAGTAATGTGATTTGCCTATCTAGGATTCAATCAGTATTTTTCTTTTCTACACCTTAAGAATACTTTACAAATAAAATCTGAATACATGTTTCTGTTATATAATGAAACATCATTGATGTGTTATTTCCTATAGGAAAGGATACAGATGAAGTTGGACTTACCTGGATTAAAACTTAAAAAACCATAAATTTTATCTACAGTAAAGCTCTTTGGTTTCACTGTCTAAAGGATCTGAGATAATCATGAAAAATGGCAAGCTAGCAAAAAAGCCCGATAGATCAAACTCAGTAGACACTAAAAAAAGGTGCAACTGTCTCACAACAGTGCTATCAAGTTGTCAACTCTCATACAAATCACTAGCAGGACTTGTCACAGGGGACAGACAGATAACTTACCTAATACCTTGGCAGTGACCAAGCACTTAATAGAAAGAAATACAGATTATTTCAGAGACAGAAGCAACCGGGGATCCTAACCCAAGATCAAGACCACACTGTTCTAGGTACAAAGATATTCTTACCCCTCAATTCATCTAAACCTGAATGTGACTTCAGACTAGACAAAGTTCAGTTAAGCATGATGCTTTAGACAAAACCAGTAGGGTCCCGACCGAAACATTACCTAATGTTCAAAATGTACATGCCATATATTCTACATGCTGAATAAAGATACTGAAGTACTGATAACTCTGGTTATTTTCTGTACCGAGTGTAACTAAAAAATATATGTACTAGTCCATGAAAATATTGTACATGTATCCTTTTTCCAGAAAAGTTTCTTTGTATAAATATAGTTGATAGAAGTTTTTTTATCCAAGAATTTCTGTACTACTGCTGAACAACGTCTTTTTTTACATTGGAGACACATTACAGACCCATTGAACTTGTCAAAAAAGAAAAAACTAAGATAAAGGGTAGAGTCAGGACATTGTGAAGTAAAATACAACATGGAAGAGGTAGCTGTATTTCCAAAGTAGTAACCAGCTTTCGGGGGAAGGAAAAAAAAAGAAATTGAGAGAACAATTTGCCACTGAAGTGAAAACAGAAAAAAACAGAGAAGGCATTGAACCGTGTTTGCATTGCCTAAACAAAGATATTTTTTCAGACACTGCCCAAGACTGTATATAAAGAACACTCCTTAAATGAAAGTACCAAAGCTACCTCATTCATGGACTCAGAAATGCCACATAAAATACTCTGGGAGCTAATGGAGAGCTTAGCAAAGAAATCAACCGTCCAAAATGACAGAATTGCCTGAAAGACATGGAAAACTACTCCAGCTGATAGAAGTGGTAAGCACCATAAATTGAAGAAAACAAACCACAACATATGAA